AAACTTGCATTTTAAGGTGCTAACCACTTCTGGAAGATTTGTAAACATGATTAGAAGTAAAAACGCGCAATAAATTAGTGATTAGAAGCTGAATTGTGCATTTCAAATTCTGACTTGGAGGAAAAAGTTAGTTTCAAGGTACCAACTTTGAATCAATGGTATTCACAACTCAAGGAGTCTTAGGGCATGATTCTTGAAGCAATTGAAAGACAAGGTCACAAATTTTATAATGTGAAAAGAATGGGACCAATTGGATACTTGAGCTAGGGGTTATGATGAGTCAAAGTTGAGAAAAATATGCTGACTTTTTGTACTTAGAAAAATTCTATGTTTTTTCTTCAAAAGTGACCTATAATGTTTTGCATCCAAACATGGCCTTCCACTCAAAATTTGCTTTTGACCAAAAAATATGACCTGAATTAGATCTCTTAAATGACATTTTTAGATTTGAACCACTTAAAAACTCCAAGAATTGAGAAAGTTATGACTTTGTGAAGTTGGTGAAAATCCATGAAATGACCTATAACCTTTTGCATTCTTAGGGCATCTTCCATCCATTTTCAAGCTTTGCACATGAAAGAAGAGTTGAGGTTTACATACTTAAGATAATTATGGAAAAATAATGGACTCAAGGAGATAAAAATTGACTAAGTTATGATCTTTTGAAGTCACATAAGGGAATTTGATGACCTATCTAGAGAACTTGTAATCTTTCTTCATCATTAGGCATCTTCCACACCAAATTTTCTTGAAATTTTTAAAGTGATTGGCTGATAACTCTTTAAAGAGAAGAATTTATTTGGAATCACTCAAAAATACCAAAAGATGAGCAAGATATATCCCTTAGAAGTTCAAAACCCTAGCTCCTAGAGCACGAAAATGACTTGGAAATCCCTTTCAACTTTGACAAACTTTCTTGCATAATTACTCTTGCCATGTGAATAGAAGTTGTTGTGGATGATAATAATAACCCATAGAAGCAAAAACAATCTCCAAATATTAAGAATTGAGAGAGTTATACACTTGTGATCAAGAAACAAAGAACTTGTCCAATTAGTTCAAACTTCTTCAATCAACTTTTGCATCTTTTGATTTTCTTTGACAAATTGAGGCATGATAAATCATAGTAGACCTTGTCATGATATTACTTAAAAGTATATTCAATGATGAAGCTTGAATATCGATTAAAATTTGTTGAAGAAGGCATGGAAATAAACTCATGAATCTATAAATCAAAATGATGAAATGTATTGCGCCCTTACCTATAACATCATCATTTAGAGCAAAGATTCATTGTATTTATTAGTTAAAAGTTAATAATTACAAAACATGGATGATCACAATATATAAACCAAGGTGCTTGGTAATTCCTCATGAGAAAACCTAAAGATAGGGAGAATAACCAAACCCTATTTTGATCTTGTTGTGATTGATTTGATATGAGATGATAGAGGAATCTTAGGGGGAAAAATTAGGATACAACACCTAGATGAGCATATCACGAGGACCGTCCCTTCGAGCATAACCAAACTGACACAGAGCTAGAGAAGGGCTGTAAGTGATTCCCCCTCTTATACCAAGGAGTGGTATATTAAGGAATTCCCCACAGCGATCAATAATAGTGACATCTGCCTGAGATCGAGAACACTAATGGATATCTACATGAGTGAGTGACATCAACCTTTGAGACCACCTCAAACCTCGTTCTTTCTTTATCACTGATCGGGGCAGGTGAGAAATAAACCACTTTGACAATAGAGGTATGAAACACATTAGAGTTCCTCGCCTCTTTATAGTATAAGTGTGGAGGGAATGCAAGACATCTCCAAGAAAAGTAGGTACCGAATTATGGGTGAGGAAAATTTTGATGGCATTCAAATCTATGAATTGATCTGGATTAGGGAACAATGCTAACGCATAAATCAGCAAAGCCAACATATCCTCAAAAGCACGAAAATTCATGGCATCTAGAAACCACTGAGCCTTCTCTATTAGAAATTTAGGAGAAAAACCCTTGACTCCATTCCTTGTTTCCCAATTAGATACAATGTTTGATTGTTTTAGATGTAAGGCTACTGCAATGTCTTCAGGTTTCGGAACTTGCTCTAGACTAGTGAAGGGTATCTGATCAAGAATAGGAACTTCGAGCAACTTAGAGAATTCTTCAATTGTGGGCACCAAATGATAATCTGGGAAGGTAAAATAGTGATGCTTCGGATCAAAGAACTGGAAAAGAACGCTCATCATGTCTTCTTGGAAGCCAGTAGTAACCAAACTGAGTAGATGACCATGTTTCTTGGTAAATTGAGAATGTCAGGAACCTTTGAGACTAATTCCTCAAGCTTGAAAAGTATCCTTACAAAGTTGATCTAGATGGTATTGCTACGATTGGAAGCCATGACCCTGCAACACAGAACAAAGATAAATCCCCTAGATCCTTGAAATGGTAAGTCATGATATGATGTTATGATGTCATGTTTAAACAGATAATCAAACACAAGCAAAGCATACAAAGGACTTACGTTTGAGACTTGCATGGCGTTTGTAGGTAAGTACCCTATTGAAGTTTAGTTATCTTAACTTGTCCTAAAGAAGTAATCGGGTTCTGGGGATCTCAATATCACTGATTTTTCCCATAAGTTTTGTCTAGCACGACAACTGACTTGCCACCTGTAACACGGTAGGAGAATTGACTATTATACTGGTTTTGCGTTTGTATTCGCAAATGTTGCAGTAAGCAAGAGTCACCACTGAATTTTATTTTATCCAACAAAGGAAAGGGTGAAAAAAACAGAAAAAGACCTTTCGAGATTTGTTTCTGAGTAAGGGGGGAAGATTATGGAAAGTGAAGGTGTTAGCACCCTTTCCATCCGTAGTTATCTATGGGCTCTTAGATTCTAGCTCATTTAAAAATACCTTGTGTTTTGTGTGTTTGAAAAGTATTTTGAAAGAAAACGCCTTAGTACGACGAACTTTGCAATGTTTCTCGGATTAGTAGAGAACGTGTACAAAGTGTTTTTAAAAATGTTTTTGATAGAAGTTTTGTGTATGTGTAAAAGTTTGTTTAGAGCATAGCATCTAACAACTATCTATTTTTACTCGAAAGGATGTTCTTTTCCTTTTTTTCCTTTAGACAATGCTATCCTGCTATTAGTGAGTAGGTAGCCCTAGTCAAGAAAACGGGGAAGATAGTTTCCCACAGACGGCGTCATTGATCTTACCGGTTGATCAGAACCTGTAAGGTGGCCGAATGATGATCTTCTGTCGGGCTGGAAAGTCGAGGAGGAAAAAGGGGGATTGTACCTGTAAGGCACTCTGACGATCAAGTAAGCGTGGGAGTAAAGAGATAGAAATAAAGTATTAGGGTTTTAGTGGTGAATAATGAATATTTGATTCTTGGCCTTCACTTGTGTAAGGGTTTATATAGTTCCCCTGACGCTTGGCCATTGGTTCCTATTTTTGGGCCTTGATATGCGGGTCCACGAAAATAGGTAACTGCCAGGACTTGGTCAAACCGGGCAGGTGTGCCCGTAACTAGCCGTTGGTTTCGAGGAGGAGGTAGGTTACAGGCAACAGTCTGGTCGGTTTCTAGTTGTCTGGCCGACTTGAGGTCGGGCAGACTGAGAGGCACTCGTCGACCGTCGTAGGTCACTGCTGGTCCAGGAGGGCAGACGGTCGATGGTGCCCGACGGAGGGCGGGGAAACCCGAGTCGTGGTCGTACGGACCGTATCGAAGGAGGAGGTTAGGTTGAGCCCACTCTAATTGTCGGATCAGACCAGAACACTTGGCATTCATACCTTTCTGCATCCATTATTGACACTCGAATTCAACCAATAAACAATCCAAAAAAATTGATGTAGAAACTATTTTGTAGTGCGAAAATGCATAAAACTTTTTACCCATTCGATCGGTGAAGGATCTGAAAAATCGTTATATATTAGATTGAATATAGTCAGTTGAAATATTCACCGTGTATTCGAGGCAAAAAGAGAAAATGAAAGGCGAAGAGTACACACCCTAATCAAATGATTGAAATTGATTGAGAAGAAAAAATATGCATTATATTGGCGTTGAAGTTAAGGGTCGACGATGAGAAAATTTTGTCATGAGAAAATTTTCATATAACTCTAATTAATTTGACAGCATTCTTTCTAAACATAAAAGCAACTAAAACTTCCAAAAACTCTTATGGGGAATTCATAGGTAGTTCTCACTTTTCCATATCCCCGCACAATTTGACAACAATAAGTTGAAAGATTTTCGTTCAAAACTCAAAATTGATAATATTTACACATATAATATACTAACAATCACAATATATTCCTTTGAACACACAAAATATACAAATTCACAATCATAGATTACAAATTCAACGAAAGAAATTACATTATCATCATCAACAAACACGCACTCCTGAATATTGAGATGGAGGGGCTGCTGATTCCGCCATTTGCCGATAATAATAATAATAATGAATTATAAATTTTAACACTGTGCAATAATAATAATAATAATAATAATAATAATAATAATAATAATAATAATAATAATAATAATAATAATAATAATAATATATTTGTTGATGAAAAATTATTTTTGATATATTTACAATTCATTTCTTCATTGAATCTTTATTTTCGTGCCTCAGCTTATTCTAGAATTAAAATCGTTTATGAACAACCTTTTAAAAGAACAAACCAAAAATAACCCCTAACTTAACGCAATTAATTAAGGAATTGTCATCGACTCCAACATCATTTTTGGCTCATGATTTTGGTTAATTTGTTGATATTGAATGACCATTGTCAACCTTGTAGTTAAGGTTCTGTTTTCCCCCACAATCTTATACCCTAGCTACCATTTTCAATGTCCTCATAATAGTTTATTCAAAACTTGTCTGATCCTAATAAATTTTCAATTTTATAAAACTTCATAATATTAGCTCTTTGTTATTCTCCTCCTTGATCTTTCTTTTGATTACTTTTTCTACAAGCAATCAATGGATCAAGGAGAACTTGCACGAATTTTTCAAATGTTCGATAAAAACGGAGACGGTCGCATTACAAAAAAAGAACTTAGCGACTCGTTACAAAACCTTGGAATTTGCATCTCGGAAAAAGATTTGATCACAATGATTGAAAAAATCGACGTAAACGGAGATGGATTTGTCGACATTGACGAATTCGGCGAGTTATACCAAACGATAATGGACGATAAAGACGAGGAGGAGGATATCAAAGAAGCGTTCAATGTGTTTGATCAAAACGGAGACGGTTTCATAACGGGCGAAGAATTAAGCGCGGTGTTATCTTCTTTAGGGTTAAAAAATGGAAAAAGTTTAGAAGATTGCAAAAACATGATCAAGAAAGTTGATGTGGATGGTGATGGAATGGTGAATTTTAAAGAATTTAAACAAATGATGAAAGCTGGTGCTTTTGCCGCTGATTCATAGAGTTGATGCATGGTAGAGGGTGTGCAAGTGTTTTTTCTCTTTTATGTTTAGATGATTTTTGTTCCACATAAAAGAAAAAAATAAAGATACACTTTGTAGAATATCATTAACATGTTCAAATGGAAAGGGGGAATGGTATATGGTTGGTGATTATATTTTATGGGAATTACTCAGCTTTTTGTAAGGTGATTAATTAATTCCTCAATATTTTTCCAATCTATATATCTTGTTAATGAGTTGGAAACTTTATGTGGAGAACAAGACGAACATGCAGTGTTTTTGAGGATGTATAAATCGGATTAATATATAGGATCTAATATTTGTTTAAGTTAAACCTTGATTAAATAGAATCTTATAAAAAATTTATCAGAGTTAAATAAGTATTCAAAAAATTTTAGGAGAATGAAAAGTTGAACTCACCCCCTCTATCTTTCCAACACAAGGCACTACCATCCGTCTATTATGTTCTCTTTAATTTATTTTGCTGCTGAATTATATATATTACATAATATTAAATGTAGAATTATTTATTTCTGAATTTAAATGTCAAATATTATTATACTAAATAATTCTTAATAATCTTAAGTAATTCTTAATAATCCTTAATTATTTTATATTTATTTTTGTTTAAACTATTTTATATTTAATAATATTAGACTTTTAATATATGTATCAAATATTAACAACATATTAAACTATTTTAAATTTTAGTTTGTAAAGTTTATTATTTTATATTTTAATAGATACTATTTTAATGTATCAAATAATAAATTTTTAATAAAATATTAAAATTAATTTTTTTAGAAAAAACTGAAACTTTTAATTTTTAAAAACATAATATATACATTTTTTAGTAACTCATTTTTGAAAATACATAAATTTTTTATTCAACATAAGTTTAGTAATATACTATATGTAAAGTAATTTCAATTTATTATTATATAATAAAAATCAATTTCAAAATTATTTATTCAAATATATATAATATGTTTAAAATTAATTTCAGCTTATTACAATATATTAAAAATTAAATTAAATTAAATATAATATATTAAAAATTAATTTCAGTTTATTATAATATATCAACAATTAGTTTAAGTTTATTATAATATATTAAAAATTAGTTTCAGTTTATTATAATATATTAACAATTAATTTCAGTTTATTATAATATATCAATAACTAATTTCAATTTACTATAATATATCAACAATTAATTTCAGTTTATTTATTCAAATATATTATATGTTACAAATTAATTACAATTTATATTATATGTTAAAAATTATATATAACATGTAACATTAAAAATAATCTAAACACATTAATATACAAATGTAACAAACAACAATGTTGTAGTGGAAGGCTTAATGACAATCAATCCAAGGGACTGGATTCAAATCCTTCTTGGAACATATTTTTTTCATTTTAACAATTGCTTAAGTATAAATTAAATGAAAAATATATAAAATAATCCACGCCAGTCTAACTGAAATTAAAAAAAAATAAAAATAAAAAAATGTCACTAAAGGCTCCACATAAACAAATAGCGTGTGTTATTTTCTGCTAATGTTTAAAACCACATAATCTTCGTTTGCTAAGGTTATTTTAAAAAAAAGAAAATTACAAGAAGTAAATAAAAAATGACATATATGATAGGAGCAAAAATAATAATAACCCTTAAAAAGTAATAAAAATATAGTTTAATGTTTGAAATGTTCTATACAACTTAGTAATAAAATTTGAAAGTGAATAATAATGACTAAAAAAGATTAGAATTTGGAAATATCTCATTTTTCACTACTTCATGTTTCAATGTTTCAATGTTTATAACAATTGATGTTTTATGAGAAGGTTTAAGTAGTCAAATAGATTAAGTCAAATTCCTTAGAACATAATCGCATTCATTTAACAGTGGAACAATTCTTTAGGTGAACTATTGTTATCTATATCATGAATGAATTCTAATTTCACTTTACTCATGTAACAATTCTATGTTAAAGTATTGTTGTTATAATCGTAAAGTTTTTTTTTTTTGTTTAATGTTGTTTTCCATGAATTTTTGTTTAATGTTGTTTTCCATGAATTTTTGTTTGTGTCCTCGTGTTTATATTTTATTTGTAATAAATAAAACTGGTTTATGGCATTGGATAGTCAAGTTCTTAGGGGCAACATACATAGTTTGGATGGAGCATTTTATGTAATACTCTCTAGAATAATAATTATTGGTATTAATAACTTAATACATCAATGAAAATATATGAAGTAGACCAGATTAAAAATTTACAATATAAATAATCATAATAACTAATATGTATACTAATTAGATAAAATCTTCGACACATCCGAAAGACACTTCATTTAATATCCAGTGTCAAAACCATAGTTGCAAGTCAAATTTGAATATCGGCTTACTTGAAAATAATATTTTAACATGAGTTGAGATACTACTCTCAGTAGATTTTTAATTTAAACCACATAATTTCTCACTACTCTTCTATCCGGGTTAAGGTATTCTCAAAAGGTTTATCGAGTAGCTCTTTCCCCACTAAGATCATAATATCGACTAGAAACCTTAAACCATCTCATAGAAAATTTACCATTTTATCTTACATATAATTCATTATACATAAATAGAATACCCAGCTGGTTCAATTTCCCCTAAATCGATTAATTAAGATAAAACGTATTCAAATACTTTAAAGAGTGTTGTGACCCTACATATGTCCTGAATCACTCACACATGAAACAAGGTAGTAGTTGTGTTATCCAAGAGAAACATCTGACACTATGTACCACGACATACCCATTCCTTAGACGTCAACAGTCTGTTCACTAAGAGGTCTTCTAACTCAAAACAACCTTTAAAAAATTATAATTTGCAAGGAGAAGTACCAAAGATACTTGATAACTCCCTAATATAATAATCAGGATGTAATCAATCTCATATACTATAAAAGAAATGATATTTTGTCTCGTACACCCATGTACACCAAAGAATGTAACTGCATGGTCCTCCACATATCAAATCTAGTACTGCGGGATCATCAACATCCTATTATGATTCTGTGAGACTCTCGCTTTGTTTACATGTTATACATTTAACATGTTTAGTAAGTTGCATCACTTCGTAAACTATAGAGATAGTAACACGCTATCCCATACACCTATGTACACCACATAATATAATTGCAACGGTGCCCCTATATTGAATCTAGTATTACAGGATCATCAATATCCTACTACAATTCAGTGAGACTTTATTTGGTTCTACATTTAACAGGTTCTATAAGTCATGTCACTCCATATATGTGTCTAGTTAGCTACTACCATCCCTTCATTAGAGCATAATCTTATCAAAAGAATGACCATACGCTTTTAATAGAGGTATTAGTCAAATTTAAATTCAACACCTAGGCTTACATCTATTAATTTGTTCAACCAATTAGAGTTTTAATCTCATACTTCTTGATCCCACCTTTCCATTACCCAACTACATTTCTATTAACAACTTCAGTTGTGTGTAATATATCTACTCGTGTGCATACCATTACATACATCAAGCTTCCAATAGCTGAGGCGTATGACATGTTTATCTCTTGCTTTTAATTTTATTTGTAGGACTCTGCTTTAAACTAAGACAAAAATGACTAGCAAGTGGAGTAGTAATTGGCTTTGCCTTTTCTATGTGAAATCGCTCCAATACCTTTTTGATATATTTTTCTTGTGATAACCACAAATTGCATTCATTCTGATCATGAAGGATGGACATACCAATAATATGCTTTGTTGGTCCCAAGTCTTTCATTGAAAAATATTTCTTCATTTCATTCTTTAACTTGCTTATCTTCTCACTATTTTGTCTTATAATCAACATATCGTCAACATACAAAATTAGTAATATGAACTCACCATCAACAAATCTTCTCATAAACACACAATGATCTGAAGTAGTCATTTGGTATCCATGATCAATCATGAAGGAATCATATTTCGTGTACCATTGATGCGGTGTCTGCTTAAGTCTGTACAAACTTTTTTTCCACTGACTTACTAGGTATTCTTTTCCTTTGATTTTGAATCCCTCTATAAGCTCCATGTGATTTTTTTCTTCTAAATCGCCATGAAGAAATGTAGTCTTCACACCTAGTTGCTCCACTTCTAGATTCAAACTTGTCGTCAAACCAAGCACTACCCAAATCGATTACCTCTTTACTAATGGTGAAACAATATCTTTAAAGTCTTTGCCTTTCTTTTGACAAAGCCTTTTACAACTAATATCGCCTTGTATCTAGGTTGTGAGTTATTCTCCTTAGTTTTTAACTTGTACACCCATCTATTTTTGAATGCTCTTTTACCTTTTGATAAATCTACTAGCTTATAAGTCAAGTTATCATACAAGGATTGCATTTCTTCTTCCATGGCTTTCAACCACTCCTCTTCGTGGTTATACATTCTAAAGTCTTCATAAGATTTTAGTTCTCCCTCATCAGTGAATAACATAAATTCTATTGTTGGGATATTTGGTTTGCGGTTTAGGTATCTTGAATGACCTTCTTAATTGGGGATCTTGTTCTTCGTCTCATAGTCTTCAATAATATCTTCATTATCATTGTCACTTCTATTACCATTTGTCACTTATTCAATAAGACCATTATTAATTGTAGGTTCATTTTTTGAATCTCCATTATCTTCTATTTTATCTCCCCTGTAATGCTCTAGAGGAGTAATTGAATCCAAGTTCATTGGATGTTCTCTAGAAATAACATACTTAATTGTCTTCTGAATATTTCAATATTTTGGTCTTCAAAGAAGACAACATCTCTGCTTATAATAATCTTCTTGTCTATAGGATCTCATAACCTATACCCAAAATTTTCATTTTCATATCCCAAGAATATGTATTCCTTTGACTTTGAGTCGAGTTTTGATCTCTCATCTTTTGGACCATGAAAAAATATTCTACAATAGAACACCTTCAAATGGTTGTTGGAAACATA